GGTTCAGGAAGTTGCAGGCCTCTGAACCCTTTAGTGCAGTCGGCGAGAAATCGCGTGCGACCGCGGAGGAGCCAGCGCGGCCGCGGTCGCCTTTGTGCGGGGTGCGGTGGAGGCTGTGTGGCTGCAGTCGCCTTTGTGTGGTCCGCACAGAGTGCTGAACTGCAGGTCTTCAGGGAGGCCTGTAGAGCCGCAGTCCGTTTAATACGGTCCGCGGTGGAGCTCCGCGACCGCAGTCCTTTTTTTGCGGTCCGCGGTGAGGGTCTGAAAGGGGTATAAATAGACGGGATTTTCAGCTAGTTTTCACTTTTCAAAACCCCAAAAACATAAGAGGCGATTTTTCAAACAACCTTTCTTCTCCGAATCAATTGTAAGTCATTTTTAACTAGTTTTCTTCAATCATTAACATCTTTTAACATGATTTCAACTTAAAATCAAAGATTTTCATGGGGGAAATTGGGTGTTTTGGGTAGAACCTAGGTTTTCCAAAAATTGAGGATTCGAACCTCAATTTGAGGTCCGATTTCAAAATAAATTATACATTTGGATTCNCTTCTTTCTTTATTGAGGATTCTATTTGAAACTGTTATCTCCCCACAACATGTTTCCCCTTCCTACATTTATTGGTTATTTCTGTATCTCTTTTCTACTGTATATATATATATATATATGAACTGCACAGGTTTATTTGGAGTCTAGTCCTAGCCCCGTCACTACTTTGCCGAGGTTAGGCTGGACACTTACCAGCACATGGGGTCGGTTGTGCTGATACTACACTCTGTGCTCTTTTGCAGATCCAGGTATTGGACAACGACAATAGCGCGGGAGCCAGTCTTCAGTCCACCGAGACACCGAGGTAGCCTTGCAGGCGTCCGCTGGCCCGACGTCTCCTCTATCTTATATTTCATTCTGTTATCTCATATATTCGAGACAAACAGTGTTATATTTCTTTCAAACAGTTGTATTTAGTACTCTTAGTAGTTCGTGAGTGATGTGACATCAGTTCTTGGGTAGAGGCATATGTTGACTTTCGCATTATTGTTCAGCTTATTTAATTTAGGTCTTCCGTTTATTTATTTAATTCCGTTGTTTTCATGCTATCATTGATAATTGTTAAAAGAAGTAATTTGTTAATAAAGTAGCAGTTAAGAATTGGCTTACCTAGCTCACATTAGTAGGCGCCATCACGATTCCCGAAGGTGGGAAATCCGGGTCATGACATCGAGTTTAGTAGGGAATCTAGAGACTCATGTCAGAATAGTGAAAAAATAAAGAACTATAATGAAATTAAAGTAGCATATGAGAAATTTTTGTTAAAGTAGTAGAAGAGGCTTGGTGCTGCACTAATATCTCATTTCAGAAGAAAATGATGTTTTGTCAACTCCACTAATGGTTGACTATGAAGCGTTGCCTTCGACTGTTGTATGTATTTAACCGACGGCAACTCTTGCTCTTCAAAAAAGTGTGTGAAGCGTTGGCTTATTCAATATGCATTAGGTTTTATTAATTAAATAAGAAAGAAAATAAAGATTATGGAGAAGAAGGAGAAGGAACATGTTTTTAGTGGTTCATTCTCTTAAAACTTTATTTTTTAAATAAAGCATAGTGATTTTGTAATTAGTACGTGAAACAATGCTCATATATATGTATAGCAAAGTTGCATGTCTTTAATATAAAGGTTAGTAAGCAGTTACCAATGAATGAACACAACTATTTGAAAAAGACACAATATAAATTAGTAAGCAATATTTTTGTAGGTAATATATTTAGTTATTATTGTTATTACTATTATTATTTTTAAAGGGCACATTGGTAATTCAACTTTTTGATTAGGGGTTACCTATTTTTATAATAATATAGATAGATAAATATAGATTAGTAATACTTTTCTATGTCAAAGGTGGTAGTTACTTGTCGGCTCGACTAATTCGAGTTTGCATTGCATATGACCCATTAAAAGACAAGTGTTCCCTAATAGAAATTTCTCTATTCCTAAGGCTCGAAAGTTAACTCCATACTATTAAGTTTTGAAAAAATAATTATATTAACTCCATACTATTAAGCTCTGAAAAAATAATTATATATGCAAACTTAAAGTATTTTGTAAAAAGAAATTTCTAGAGAACATTATCGGAATAATTACCTACGCCTATTATACTATATACATTTATTGTTGGCATTTTTTTCCTTGTTCATATCTCATGTGTAACGACTCGACCGGTCGTTTTGAGCTTTTGTACTTTGATCGCCAGTTCTCGGGCATGACTTGCCTCGTATGATGTATTATGACTGATGTAGATCGATGGTTTTGGTTTTCAGGAAAATCAGAAGGAATTTGAAAGAACAGTCTTAAATGAAAGCTTTGAATTTGAAAGGTTTGACCAAGAGTTGACTTGTTTGTATATGATCTCGGATCGGAATTTTTATGATTTGGTTAGCTTTGTTAGGTGATTTATGACTTAGGAGCGCGATCGGAATGCATTTTAGAAGTCCGTGGAAGGATTTGGCTTGAATTGGCAAAGTTAGTATTTTGGCGAATTCCGGTTGATAGGTGAGATTTTAATCCGAGGGTCGAAATGGAATTTCGAGAGTTGCTTTAGCTTCGTTATGTTATTTTTGATGTGTGTGCAAAAGTTTAGGTTATTCGGACATCATTTGGTCGGGTTTTTGATCGAAAGTTGTTTTGATGATTGGAACAGGTTTTAATGATGTTATGAATTATGTTGGCAAGTTTGGTCGGGGTCCCATGAGGCTAGGATAAGTTTTGGAAGAGTTTTTGGAAGATTTTTGTCGTTTTGAGCATAAGCTTGTAATGATCCAAAGGTCCAGTTTTAGTTCTAGTGATCGAAATTTGATTTCGAGACTTCCAAAATTTCAATAATGAATTATAGGAGTGATCTGGAAAGTTTGGTCTAATTTCATCAAGTTGCGATTGGGTTTTTGACGTGAATCATGAGTTAATTATTTAACGAGCAAAATGGATATCGCACTGAGCAAACGAACTCCGAATTGAGTTTCGATTGAAGGACTATGTTCGTATCATTATTTATGACTCATAGGAACAAGAATCATCGAATTTTGAGTTCGTATGATGGAGTTAGAGCCTTTTTAGTGAAATTAAACATTGTTGGTGCAGCAGGATCTGGTACGCACCTTTAGCAATCAAATTTGTCACTTTTAGCGACGGGAATGGCTCTTTTAGTGACCAGAATATGTTTATTAAAGCTGTTGCGTTTTTCTGCTCATTTTGACGTTTTTTTTGGTGAAAGAACATGGTTTGGGGCGATTTTTGAGCAAGAAATCATGGGAAATCTTGAGATTTGAAGCATCCGGAGGTCGATTCGTGCGGGTGAGGCATCGCGGGCTAGATTTTAGACCGGATCGAGGTAAGTAATGATTATAAATACTGACCTGAGGGTTTGAAACCCCGGATTATACGTCGTTGTGTTACTTTGAGGTGACTTGCACGCTGGATGACGAGCGTGAGGTAGAGCACCGCTGGGGATTGTGACCTAGTCCATCCCGAACTATGACCCGGCCCGTCGTCTCATGAGTTACCGCCCCGTTTTCCCCATTTTTTCTTTCTTCATGCTTCGTTATCCGTATCTTGTGTGATCGAGTTGATTTGGAGTGGTTTTGGTAGGAAATGAGACACTTAGTCTCTTTTAAGAAGGCTTAAGTTGGAAAAGTCAACCGGACGTTGACTTATGAGTTAGAGGGCTCGGATGTGAATTTTGAGTGTGATCGGAAGTGGTTTTGGAGGTCCGGTGTAGAATTTGGCTTGAATTGGCGAAGTTAGTATTTTGGCGATTTTTGGTTGATAGGTGAGATTTTGATCCGGGAGTCGAAATGGAATTCCGAGAGTTGTTGTAGCTTCGTTAGGTGATTTGGGATATGTGTGCAAAATTTCAGGTCGTTTGGATGTGGTTTGGTTGGGTTTTTGATCGAATGCGTGTTTTGGAAGTTTTAGAAGAACTTAGGCTTGAATTCGATGTAATTTGATGGTTTTGGTGTTAATTGAGGTGTTTTGATGATTGGAACAAGTTTGGATGATGTTTTAGGATGTGTTGGTGCTTTTGGTTGAGGTCCCAGTNGAATTTGGCTTGAATTGGCGAAGTTAGTATTTTGGCGATTTTTGGTTGATAGGTGAGATTTTGATCCGGGAGTCGAAATGGAATTCCGAGAGTTGTTGTAGCTTCGTTAGGTGATTTGGGATATGTGTGCAAAATTTCAGGTCGTTTGGATGTGGTTTGGTTGGGTTTTTGATCGAATGCGTGTTTTGGAAGTTTTAGAAGAACTTAGGCTTGAATTCGATGTAATTTGATGGTTTTGGTGTTAATTGAGGTGTTTTGATGATTGGAACAAGTTTGGATAATGTTTTAGGATGTGTTGGTGCTTTTGGTTGAGGTTCCAGTGGCCTCGGGTAAGTTTCGGGTGGTTAAACGGACTATTTCATCTTTGGAAAAGTTGCAGATTTTTGTTAAGCTTCAGCTGTGCACCAGAAAATTTCTGGTGCGAGGAGTCTAGTTTGGAATCTCATATCTTGAAATATATAACGAATCCAAAATAGTGCAAAACATAAAAGTTGTAGCTCTTGCATTCTAGTTTCCATAAAGTTAAACCATTCACGATTTGGATATTCTATCAGAAAATTATGATGAATCGAATATGCCTGGTGGATCAGTTTTGGCAGAATTTTCTGATGCATTTTAGAAGCTCATATCTCGGAATATATAAAGAGTTATATAGTGTACAACCTATCAAATGAAAGATCTTTGAGTTTAGTTTTTCAATATTCAAACCGTTTGTCATTTCGATATTTCCACAAGGATTTATAGGTGTTTTAACAGAAGGTGTACAGCAGGAAAAATGGTAAGAGGATGTACAACCTGCACATCGCAAGGTACACCTCGATGAAGCTTGGGCAGAATGTTTTTAAGTCCTCTTGTCCGCGATTTGGGTCCATTTTTCAGCCATAGTTGATTATTTTGAGAGCTTTTTGAAGGAGATTGAAGAGGGATTCAAGGAGAAACGTTTGGAGGTAAGAATTTCGGACCTAAAACTCATTTATATTGTGAAATCCACCTAGAAAATCATTGAATTCTTGCTAAAAATGGAAGAAATAGGGCTTGGGATTTTGAGATTTTGATTGGGGATTTGGAGGACCATTTGGGGTCGGATTTGAGAACTTTTGGTATGTATGAACTCGTGGGGAGATAAGGAACCCGTTGATGTAAAAATTTCTGAATTTCGAGAAGTGGGCCCGGGGCTCGGGTTTTGCCAATTTCGAGAATTTTGATATTTTTCGATTGTTTTCGATTGGGTATTGTTTCTTTAGCATAATGTGACATGTTCATTGTGATTTTGGTCAGATTCGACGCGCGAGGAGGCCAATTTGAGTGGCAAGGGCATAACGAGCTAGAGCTTTGGCTAGTTTGAGGTGAGTAATGATTTTAAATGATGTCCTGAGGGTTTGAAACCCCGGATTTTGCACACCATAGTGCTATACTGAGATGAGACACATGCTGCATGATGATAGTGGGGTTCATTGCTACTGGGGATTGTGACTTGGTCCATCCCAATTGAGATTTTCACCACATTTTGACTGAGACTTATGCATTGTCATCTTGACTTGGGCTAGTTGCCATGTTTGGGGCCTTGTGCCGACTAGAACCCTTATGAGATTTTTGACTGGTTTTCCTCACTTATTTGCTAAAAATCATATCCGCAGTCATGTTTCTAATTGTTTAAAAAAGATATGAACCGGGTTATGAAATGTTAACCATAAATGAGAGAAATATGTAGGCTGAGATCCCTACCGTATATTATTGTGCCCGAGAGGCTGTGATTATAATGACTGAGAGGGGTTGAGGACCCAATAGTGAGGATATTATATATGATATTGGATCGGATTGCATGCCGCAACAAATACATATATTGGATCGGGCTGCACGCCGCAGCAAATACTTATATGGACCGGGATACGCGCCACAGCAAATATGCAAATACATATATTTGATCGGGTTGCACGCCGCATCAAATACTTATACAGACCGGGATGAGCACCGTAGCAAATATGTATATATATATATGGATCGGGCTGCACGCCGCAGCAATATAACGCTTGGCTGTAGAAGCCCCTCCGGAGTCTGCACACCCCCAGTGAGCGCAGTTGACTATAATTATTATGGATCGGGCTGTGCGCTACAGCGATATACAGATTGGGTTGTACGCCGCAGCGGTATATATATATATATATTTCGATTTCGTTTATTGTGAGAAGTATATGAATTGAGTATTGAGGGTAAGAAATAAGTAAATGAACAGAAATGCTTGAGGAGCGAATTTATACTGGATTAATGCCTGTCAAATTACCTGTTTTCACCTGGTTCAAAGAGTTTCATTCAATTTTCCTTACTACTTGCTCTTTAAATGGTTTTACTACTTTGATATAGAACTGCTTAGTGCCTTTACGTGATTTCATACCGTCAGCCATTATTTATTGTTATTACTCACTGGGTCGTAGTACTCACATTACTCCATGCACCGTGTGTGCAGATACAGGTGTCCCTGAGGTTGAGAGCGAGTTTTCCTGTTGTTCAGTTTTTCATCGGAGTTATCGAGGTAGCTGCATGGCGTCCGCAGACCCGATTTCTCCCTCTATCTTTCTTTACTATTTCGCATTGTAGACATATTTCTGCATTAGGCTGTTGAAACCTTGTATTAGAGGCTCAGACTTGTAACACCAGATCATTGGGCATTTGTAGAGATTTCATTATGGCCTTCCACATATTTCAATTTTTTATTTCAGACTTCTACTTATATTAAATTGGTATCTCTTTCTGAAAATTGGTAATGAATTCTAATAAGAAGGGATTGTGAGTGGTAATTTGTCGAGCTTTCCTAGCATCATGTTGGGAGCCATCACGATCGGGATTGGGGTCGTGACAAGTTGGTATCAGAGCCTAGGTTACATAGGTCTCGCGAGTCATGAGCCGGTTTAGTAGAGTCTCGCGGATCGGTACGGAGACGTCTGTATTTATCCTCGAGAGGTTGCAGAACCTTTAGGAAAAACTTCATATTCTTGAAATTCTTGTCGTGCGACTTTGGTTGATCCGAGAACTAAACTTCTGTTATCCTATTCTCTCGCAGATGGCGAGGACTCGTGCTGCTGGATGAGGTGGATGACTACCAGTGCCACCCACTGAGGCCACCAGAGGTCGTGGACGCGGGCGTGGTCATGGCAGAGGCAGGGTAGCGAGGGAAACACCTATTGATTCACCAGTTGTCCCAGTTCCAGTCCAGGCACCGGCAGTGCCTATTGTGATTTCAATTCTACAGGAGACCTTGGCTCAGATCCAGGCAGTTTGCACTAGCCTAGCTCAAGCAGTTTCAGCTACCACAACAGCGGCTACTTCATAGTCCGGGGGAGGCAACCAGACCCCCGCCGCTCGCACACCTGAGCAAGTGGTACAGGGATTACATACCCCGGAGGCACCTCCAGCTCAGCCGGTTGCACCAGCTCAGGAGTTTGTAGTACCAATTATGCCAGATGATGAGCAGCGCCGTCTTGAGAGGTTTGGCAGGCTCCAGCCTCCGTCATCAGTGGTGCTGAGGGCGAGGATGCCCAGGGTTTTCTTGACAAGTGTCAGCAGATGCTCCGTACAGCTGGGATACTTGAGACTAGTGGTGTGGCATTTACTACTTTTCAATTTACTGGGGATGCCTTCACTTGGTGGGAGGCATATGAGAGGCGTAGATCGGTTGGTGTAGCGCCCCTTACTTGGAAGGAGTTCTCCATCTCTTCTTGGAGAGGTATGTACTGCAGTCCCGCAAGGAGGAGCTACGTAGGCAGTTTGAGTGGCTAAAGCAGGGAGATATGACTTTGTCTCAGTATGAGGCAAGGTTTTCTGAGTAGGCTCGTCATGCAGTTGGATGGTTCCGACCGATCATGAGCGGATCAGGAGATTTGTTGATGGCCTTAATTACCATCTCCGTATATTGATGACTAGAGAGAGAGTTTTGGGTGTTTCATTTGAGGAGGTGGTTGATATTGCTCGGGAGATTGAGACGGCTCGCCGGCAGGATAGAGAGGAGAGGGAGGCCAAGAGGCTTCGAGGTTCTGATAGTTTCAGTGGTGCTCCGTCTAGGGGCCAGTTCCAGCATGGTAGAGGTCGTTCTTTCAGGCCCGCTCAGTCGGCCCGTCCAGAGTATCGCGGGGGATCTTCAGGTCATGGTTATCATGGTTCTCAGCAGGGTCAACCTTCACTAAGCGCCCTCCCAGCTTAGAGTTCATCTCGTGCTTCATCAGTACAGGGTTCTTCTATGGCAGGTCATTCTACTAGTCCTTCTAGTGCCAGAGGTTCCCTTCAGTCCCTACCTCCAGCACCGGGTAGTTGTTACGAGTGTGGAGATTTTGGGCATATGAGGAGACAGTGTCCTCGACTTTATGATGTTCAGTATCAGCAAAGGTGTCAGCCCTCGACTTCCGCTCCAGTTATTTCACCACCCGCCCAACCAGCTAGGGGTGGAGGTCAGGCAGTCAGGGGTCGCCCTAGAGGGGGAGTTCGATCAGGCGGTGGCCAGGCCCGTTTCTATGCTATTCCAGGCCGGACAGATGCCATTGCTTCAGATGCTGTCATCACAGGTATTATCTCAGTCTGCCACAGAGATGCTGCTGTATTATTTGATCCCGGTTCCACCTATTCTTATGTATCCTCATATTTTGCTCATTATTTGGGTACGCCCCATGAGTTTCTTTCTTTACCTGTTCACGTATCTACCCCGGTGGGCGATACTGTTGTTGTGGACCGTGTGTACCAGTCATGTGTTGTGACTATTGGGGGTCTGGAGACCCGAGTTGATCTATTGCTATTGAGCATGGTGGACTTTGGTGTTATTTTGGGCATGGATTGGTTATCTCTATGTCATGCTATTCTAGACTGTCATGCTAAGACAGTTACTTTGGCTATGCCGGGTGTACCGCGAATCGAGTGGCGTGGTGTGACTGATTATGTTCCTAATAGAGTGATTTCTTTCTTGAAATCCCAGCGTATGGTTGGGAAGGGTTGTCTGTCATATCTAGCTTTTGTGCGAGATGTTGGAGCTGAGACTCCTAGTATTGATTCTGTCCCAGTTGTGAGGGATTTTCCCGATGTATTTCCTGTAGATCTGTCGGGCATGCCGCCGGACATGGATATTGATTTTGGTATTGACCTGGTGCCAGGCACTCAGCCTATTTCCATTCCGCCATATCGTATGGCACCAGCAGAATTGAAAGAGTTGAAGGAGTAGCTTTAGGAACTCCTAGATAAGGGGTTCATTCGGCCTAGTGTGTCACCTTGGGGTGCGCCAGTTTTATTTGTGAAAAAGAAAGATAGCACAATGAGAATGTGTATTGATTACAGGCAATTGAATAAAGTAATAGTGAAAAACAAGTATCCTTTGCCTCGCATTGATGCCTTATTTGATCAGCTTCAGGGAGAGAGTGTGTTCTCCAAGATTGATCTCCGTTCGGGCTATCACCAGTTGAAGATCAGGGATTCAGATATTCCTAAGACTGCTTTCAGGACTAGATATGGTCACTATGACTTTCTTGTCATGTCTTTTGGGCTGACCAATGCCCCAGCAGCGTTCATGCATTTGATGAACAGTGTATTTCAGCCTTATTTGGATTCATTCGTCATTGTATTCATTGATGATATTCTGGTGTACTCGCATAGTCAGGAGGAGCACGCAGAGCATTTGCGTGTAGTGTTGCAAAGATTGAGGGAGGAGAAGCTTTATGCGAAGTTCTCCAAGTGTGAGTTCTAGCTCGATTCAGTGGCATTCCTGGGACATATAGTGTCCAGCGAGGGTATCCAGGTTGATCCAAAGAAGATAGAGGCGGTTCAGAGTTGGCCTAGACCATCCTCAACTACAGAGATTCGTAGCTTTCTTGGGTTAGCAGGATATTATTGCCGGTTTGTTCAGGGATTTTCATCCATTGCATCGCCCTTGACCAAGTTGACTTAGAAGGGTGCACCATTTGTATGGTCGGACGAGTGTGAGGAGAGCTTTCAAAAGCTCAAGACAATTTTGACCACAACTCCAGTGTTGGTTTTGCCATTAGCTTTAGGTTCATACACCGTATATTGTGATGCTTCGAGAGTTGGGATTGGTTGTGTATTGATGCAGGAGGGTAGAGTGATTGCTTATGCTTCTCGTCAGTTGAAACCCCATGAGAAGAACTACCCTGTTCATGATTTGGAGTTGGTTGCCATAGTTCATGCATTGAAAATTTGGAGATACTATCTGTATGGCGTATCTTGTGAAGTATCCACGGATCATCACAGTCTTCAGCATTTGTTCAAGCAGAAGGATCTTAATTTGAGGCAGCGGAGATGGCTAGAGTTGCTTAAGGATTATGATATTACTATTCTGTATCATNTGATGGTGTGTTGCGGATGTAGTGCTGGATTTGTATGCCCAATGTGGATGGGCTTAGAGAATTGATTCTGGAGGAGGCCCATAACTTGCGGTATTCTATTCATCCGGGTACCGCGAAGATGTATCAAGATTTGAGGCAGCACTATTGGTGGAGAAGAATGAAGAAAGATATTGTGGGATTTGTAGCTCAGTGTCTCAATTGTCAGCAGGTGAAATATGAGCATCAGAGACCGGGTGGCTTACTTCAGCAGATGGTTATTCTTGAGTAGAAGTGGGAGATGATCACTATGGACTTTGTTGTTGGACTTACATGGACTTCGAAGAAATTTGATGCTATTTGGGTGATTGTGGATCGGCTGACCAAGTCCGCGCACTTCATTCTTGTATGTACTACCTATTCTTCAGAGCGGTTGGCGTGGATTTATATCCGGGAGATTGTTCGGTTGCATGGTGTTCCAGTTTCCATCATCTCAGATAGAGGTACTCAGTTTACTTCACAGTTTTGGAGAGCCGTCCAGAGAGAGTTAGGTACTCAAGTGGAGTTGAGCACATCATTTCATCCTCAGACGGACGGACAGTCCGAGCGTACTATTCAGATATTAGAGGACATGTTGCGTCCTTGTGTCATCGATTTTGGAGGTTCATGGGATAAGTTTTTGCCGCTTGCAGAGTTTGCCTACAATAACAGCTACCAGTCGAGTATTCAGATGGCTCCGTATGAGGCTTTGCATGGTAGGCGGTGTAGATCTCCAGTTAATTGGTTTGATCCCGGCGAGGCTAGGCTATTGGGGACAGATTTGGTTCAGGATGCCTTAGAGAAGGTGAAGGTTATTTAGGAAAGGCTTCGTACAGCACAGTCGCGCCAGAAGAGTTATGCAGACCGAAAGGTTCGAGATGTATCCTACATGGTTGGTGAGAAGGTCTTGCTGAAGGTTTCGCCCATGAAGGGTGTTATGAGATTTGGAAAGAAAGGAAAGTTGAGTCCACGATTCATTGGACCTTTTGAGGTACTGAAGAGGATTGGGGAGGTGGCTTATATGCTTGCTTTGCCACCCAGCTTGTCGTGTGTGCATTCGGTATTTCATGTTTCTATGCTCCAGAAGTATGTCGGGGACCTGTCCCATGTTTTGGATTTCAGCACGGTTCAGTTGGATAATGATTTGACCTTTGATGTGGAGCCAGTGGCTATTTTGGGTCGTCAGGTTTGAAAATTGAGGACAAAGGATATATCTTCGGTAAAAGTGCAGTGGAGAGGTCGACCCATGGAGAAAGCTACCTGGGAGACCGAGCGGGAGATGCGGGGCAGATATCCTCACC